CTCTATCCTCTATCCTCTATCCTCTATCCTCTATCCTCTATCCTCTATCCTCTATCCTCTAGCCTCTATCCTCTATCCTCTATCCTCTATCCTCTATCCTCTATCCTCTATCCTCTATCCTCTATCCTCTATCCTCTATCCTCTATCCTCTATCCTCTATCCTCTATCCTCTATCCTCTATCCTCTATCCTCTATCCTCTATCCTCTATCCTCTATCCTCTCTATCCTCTATCCTCTATCCTCTATCCTATCCTCTATCCTCTATCCTCTATCCTCTATCCTCTATCCTCTATCTCCTCTATCCTCTATCCTCTATCCTCTATCCTCTATCCTCTATCCTCTATCCTCTATCCTCTATCCTCTATCCTCTATCCTCTATCCTCTATCCTCTTCCTCTATCCTCTATCCTCTATCCTCTATCCTCTAGCCTCTATCCTCTATCCTCTATCCTCTATCCTCTATCCTCTATCCTCTATCCTCTATCCTCTATCCTCTAGCCTCTATCCTCTATCCTCTATCCTCTATCCTCTATCCTCTATCCTCTATCCTCTATCCTCTATCCTCTTATCCTCTATCCTCTATCCTCTATCCTCTATCCTCTATCCTCTATCCTCTATCCTCTATCCTCTATCCTCTATCCTCTATCCTCTATCCTCTATCCTCTATCCTCTATCCTCTATCCTCTATCCTCTATCCTCTATCCTCTATCCTCTATCCTCTATCCTCTATCCTCTATCCTCTATCCTCTATCCTCTATCCTCTATCCTCTATCCTCTATCCTCTATCCTCTATCCTCTATCCTCTTCCTCTATCCTCTATCCTCTATCCTCTATCCTCTATCCTTTATCCTCTATCCTCTATCCGCTATCCTCTATCCTCTATCCTCTAAGCACTAAAGAGTTTTTGTTGAATATCTACATATTAGCTCATGAGCCTTTAAGCTGGGCTTATGCTTTGGTTCACGACCAAATGTCGTTTGGAGTCTCATGTTTGAATCAGTTTTATCAACTTTGATTAAAAAAACAAATAATAATTCCGGTTTCAACGTATAGCGCATAATCAAAAATATAAAATTAAATTCTCACTTCGTCTCTGCCGCCAATTATAGGCATTTGCATGATGAAGTTGAACTATTTGTGTGATAAATAAAGGTACATCCCGTTTTGTGCTTCGAATTTAACTAGCTTCATTTTGCATTCCCCCTTTGCCACCCAAGTTGCCACTTGAGCTAAGCACACTTGCCTATTACCTGTAATTATGATGAATAACATTATATTTTTCGGCCAGTCATGGTGTCTTTGGAATACCAAACTCGAGCTTTGCCCAGGCAACCGAATGTACAAAACGTAAACAAACAAAATAAAGAAACATATAAAAGTCAATGTCTAAATTAGCAACATTTCTCAGAGGTAATTGCTATTGCCGATTTCGATGGCACAGACATGTGTGTGTGAGAGTGTGTCTAGTAGCAATGTATAGATATCCGTACTACGAAATGGCAACAGGGTGGTTCAATTGCCTGGAACCCTCGATATGCCATTGACGTGATTTAACATCGACGCTTGTGTCAAGCTCTCTGATTTATTTTATGACTCAACACATCAGCCGTGCGGCGTACGACTTTAATTCCCTCCATATAAAAATACCTGTCATGATAGAACGCAGAAATTACCCGCACTTGTCCAAAGCGTCCACACACAAAATCCATTGAAATTCCGGACGAGTTCAGCATGGGCCACAGCTACAAATCGCGTAAACAACTCCACTGCATTTCGTGGCAATGCCATCTCTCACCAGGCGCTCAGAGCGAGGCTAAGCTTCGAAATACTGTTGTGTGGGTATGTGTCTGGTAGCGTGTGTATGGCAGCCACCAATAAAGCCCTAAATGCAATTTTTCTAAATGCATTCGAGTGTTTTATTTATTGAACTGCTTCGCGTGTGTGCCTGTGTTCAGGTGTAAATACCTCGATAACTATTCATTTTGCGCGTAAACAAATATATTTCCAGTGTACTTAAGCGCTGGCAAGATAGTTACCGTTTGACAAATTATAAGGTAAACATGCAAAGAGTAGCCTCACGGCTAATCGATTACTAGAAATACATATTTAAATTACTCATCCAACTTCTAGACGAATATTCAAAATTTATTCTCAATATCTTATTTAATGTTACTTCTAGTTTTCCTTACAGTCATTTTTATTGCTGAATATATTAATGTTTAATTCCTTGTGCATTTCAAAAACGCATCACAAACTTTTTGTTTACTTTAAAATTTCCAAGCTAAGTTCAAAATATTTGCCTTTAAATGAAATGGGCAAACATTGTGTTTATACTTGATTGCACAAATTGCTACTTTATTGAATATTTACATTGCAATTCGAAGAAAAATTAGCTATACTCTGTACAGATGAGAAAATTGGGTATATAAACAAACAGAGTAAAAATTATGAATTGATATAACGTATATAAAAGGATGTAGTTAGCCTTTTTCAATATCAAAGAGACATGTGTAGAGTCTTGTTTAAAATGAGTTGTCGGTCTGTAAGACAATAGTTTTGGATTTCGGGATTCCATTTTTAATATAAGCTATAAGCAAGACTGGGCTAAAGATGGTTTCAGACTTTTTTCATCATAATAAAAATCAGTCTTTTTCATATTTTTATATATATTTTGATATTTTTTACGCCTAGATGCAGAAAAACGTTCAAGCTAATTACTGCTTTCATATCCAAAACTCGATTATTTAAAGCTAATCAAACCAAGCACTGAAGTGCAACTAATGTGTAGAATTTCGCAATACAATAAGAATAGAATGATATTTTTATACGTAGTTACGAAAATATGTTTAATACTCGTTTACTTTTATCAAAAATAGTATAATGGCTTTGTCCACCTATCAGCTTGAGTACATGTCTTTTAGCTACATCGCCGCAATATCGATATTTTAAAATTATTATTAGACTTTGAACGAGTATTATGAAGTCGATTGTTACTTGTTTTCGCTTTAAGTCTTTTTATAGAATTACCATTAATAAATTTATATATAAATTAAAATGTTGCTACAATACTAAAATACATTGTTTTGATTTAATTTTACATTGATCAAAAATACATTTTTCAACCTAACGATAATAAAAAATTGAAGCAAGTTGCGAACAATTAAGTTTACTGAAGCGCAGCTATCGTATTTCTATTTGAAATTAATTATGAATGCCCCGACGAGGAAATACCCTGGGCCAAAATACAATTAAGATAATTCTAACTAAGACGATTTCAGCTCGCTATGAAAATCAGTTCTTATTAATAGTCTAAGTGTAAAGGCTTTACTCCATATGCAAAATGCCCGATGGATAGTGTTTGATCCAGTCGTATTTTAATCATAAGCACAGAGATTAAAAATTAATTATATAACTATTAAATATCGTTTAATTTCGAATAAATGTAAGGTATAAAAAGGTAGCATAGCGTAATCAATAAGCATTTATAAACATACACCGATCGCTTACGACATCAAACGTAATGTATAGAATTTATTGGAATAATCTGCTTGTGTTAAGTGTTCTACTGATTTTAAACACAAATTTGAATGTAATGAAATCAAATGAAATATGTGCGAACTTAACTAAATAAACACTCTTCACTTTCCAGCATGGTGTTTCCATTAAAATGACAAATGCAGTCTGTAATTCCTATAACAAATCTTGGATCGTTGTAAATCATTGCCGACTGAAGGCCGTGCAACGAAATAAAACCATATTTAACGCTGACCTGGAATTTTTACATCCGGCTAATGAAATCGATATGAGAGTGCAAATCCAGAAGAAAGCAAGTGGCTACAAGCCTTGGCTTATCGATATCTCATTCGATGCCTGCAAATATATGCGAAAGCCCAATAATCCCGCTATTAAAATGATTCATGGAGTTTTCAACGGTTAATCATACATGTCCATATAGCGTAAGTAAAACTAAGACCTCAAATGTCGAAAATCGTAATGTCATTTTTTTAACCAACAGGGATATCAGGAAATAAAAGATTTTTATCCTACCGCCGAGGCGCTTCCAGTCCAATTACCAACAGGAGATTATTTACTAACACTCACTTTTATATTTTCAAAGCAACGAACGTTTGATGTAAAAGTTTACTTTTCATATATTGAAGATTTAATATAAATTCTTCAATATAATACAAAATAAAGCATATAATAAAAAAACACTTATTAATATCATTTTATTAACAAAAGAAAAGGCTTTGGTTATCTGTGTGTGGGTGTAAATGGACAAGTAGATCTGATGAACTATCTCCAAGTAATTTTCTTCAATATAAAGTCATGCAGGGATATCAATGAGAATTCCTATTAACGTTGCCTTTAGTGATCATATCACCTTTGTTTTGATGGTGGTCTTCATCACAGTAGAATTTTATAATCGTTAACAAAATAATTATATTTTGCAGTCCATTTGTTTCGGATATATATATATATATGCCATTATATAACAATAAAGATCTGATACAAATTTCAGATTATATTCCGAGAACTACTTAAGCATGACATGCAAAACAATTATATTTTTTAGGAAACAATAAAAATTACAATATTTGCCCACCTTTGTATAAACTTTATAGAATTAGGAGCGAATTCTACAATATTATTAATGGGAATCGAGTAGAAGTTGTTCTTGTGAGCCTTGAACTTGAAGATATTCTTAAGCTATTAAGTAACAGATCTACATATTATTATGCTAGATTCTTTTAAATTCTATAATGCTTTTCTGTGCGATTTAGAGTGAACAGCTCTTAAAATTGCTTAAGTCAACTCAAGCATGTACATTTTCAGGCAAATGAAAGGAAAAGACGGGTGAACCGACAATCCAATATTCCTCGATTATATAAGTAAATTATATCACACAAGCATTTCCAAAAAACCATTATACCCTGATCTGAATAGGTTCGCTGTATAAAAGTAAGTGTTCTTGAAGGAATAATGAAGGAAGGAATAATAATGACAAGCAGTCATGGACAAAATTTCATGGAATTGTCTGCTTTTGTCAAGTACTCTACTGATGTTGAGAACAAATTTGAACGTAACCAAATCAAATCAAATCAAGTGAGTTAAGTGTTAGCTAAATATAAAATCTTATTTTTGCAGTATGGTGTTAGCATTAAAATGACAAATGTAGTCTGCATTTCTTATAACAAGTCTTGGGTTGTTGTAAATCATTGCCGGCTGAAAGCCGTGCAACGAAACAAAACCATATTTAATGCTGACCTGGAAATTATACATCCAGCTAATGAAATCGATATGAGAGTGCAAGTTCAGAAGAAGGCAAACGGTTACAAACCTTGGCTTTTCGATATCACAATAGATGGCTGTAAATATTTGCGAAAACCCAATAACCCCGCTATTAAAATAATTTATGGAATCTTTAAAGAGTTTTCAACGATTAATCATACATGTCCATATGTTGTAACTATAAGACTAATCTAAAGTGGCTCATTTAACTTTATTTCTTCGCTGTTTGATGCTTTATATTGACAGGGTCATCAGGGAGTTGCAGGCTTTTATCCTACCATCGATAAATTTCCAAACCCATTACCATCTGGAGACTATTTTCTAATTCTAACCTTTATACTTTCAAAGCAACGAATCAAAGCAACGGATCCAATATATTAAATAAACTTATTTACAAAACTCCAGATAAAGCATATAAATGTAAATGTCTACACCTAAATAAATTATTTATTCTGATTTAATAACATAAGAAAAGAGGTCATGTGACAATATCAAGTATTACTGTGCTTGGACTATCTATGTGTGGGTGTAAATGGAGGAGTTGATATCATGAACTCTCTAAATAATTTTCTCCAATATAATGCCATGCTGAGAAATCAATGAGAGTTTATGTAACGTTGGCTTTGGTGATCATATAGCGTTGGTTTTAATAGTCGTTAACAAAAGTGAATTTTATACTCGAATATTGAATTTTATACACAAAACAATTATATTTTTTTCAGTTCATTAGGTTAGAATAACCAGGTTGGTATTAACCAGAAACACGAAATAATAATATTTTTTTGGGAACAATAAAATTTAGAATATTTGCCTACTTTTGTATACACTTCATAGATCTATAATTCACTCCTCACACTTGCAAATTAAAATCGCGTGCAAGTAGTTCTTGTGAGTCCCGAACTTGGAGATATTCTTACACTATTAAGTAGCATAGATATACGTATTTTTAACTAAAGCATTACTTACTCAAGTCCAAGCGAATCCACATTTCAAACTATATTTGCTTATTGTACAGAGAGAATGGCTCTGACGATCTATAAGGATTTTGATCTTAAGAGAAATAACTTATTAAGTCCATCATACATTCACTTTTATAAACCCATTGTACCCCATTTTCGATAAGTTCACAATATAAAAGTGAGAGTCAATAAAGCAATCATGAATAGAGCGCGGCTAACAATCGATCGATATAGACGAGTCGTTCACATTTGGCTTCAGAAGTCATGCATAAGATTTATTGGATTTATTGGCTTTTGTCACATGCTCTCCTGATGTTGAACATAAATTTGAATGTAATCAATTCAAATCAAATCGACGAGGTAAAGTCTTAATTAAGTATACATTCTTATACTTTCAGCATGGATTTACCATTAAAATGACAAATGCCGTCTGCACGTCATGTAATAAATCCTGGATTATTGTGAATCAATGCCGACTGAAGGCCTTGAGCCGGAACAAAACCATCTTTAATGCTGAAATGGAAATTATACATCCAGCTAATGAAATCGATATGAGAGTGCAAGTTCAGAAGAAGGCAAACGGTTACAAACCTTGGCTTTTCGATATCACAATAGATGCCTGTAAATATTTACGAAAACCCAATAATCCCGCCATTAAAATAATTTATGGACTATTCAAAGAGTTTTCAACGTTTAATCATACATGTCCATATTCTGTAAGTAGAAAATTGAGCTGAAATGGCTAGTTTAACTATATTTTTTTCTTTTTTTGCTTTTAATTACCAGGGTCATCAGTTATTAAAAGATTTTTATCCGGCCGTCAATAAATTCCCAAATCCAATGCCATCTGGAGACTATTTACTAATTCTAACCTTTAAATTTTCCAAGCAACGAACCATCGATGTAAAAACTTACTTTTCATTTATTGAGGATTTAATATAAATTATTAAATATTTCGAGTAAAGTTATTTGTAAAACTCCAATAAAACTATAAAATTAGTAATGTCCACAGTAATAAACACGTCATTATTTATTTATATATTTATGTATAGTTTATATAAAATAACAAAACAAAAAATAACAAAATCCATTCATCCATACTGGATTCCCAATCCTAGCTAAGTTCCTTCAAATTCTGTAGAGCTCACATGTAAAATAATATATATATATATATATTTAAATATAATATTCTTCTATGGACACGAATTTTGATCTTGAAATAAATACATAATTTATTCTAGCATACGTACAGCAATATAAAAGCAATATACCCCATTTCCAATAGCTTCCATGCAACTGGACAAAACCGTATGTAATGCTGATCTAAACTTTTGGTCTTTTTTTTTTGTCACTTTGTTTTAACTGGCTCATCAAAGAGTAAGAGATTTTTATGGCATGACCCATAAAGTTCCCTCCTCATTATCAACTAACCTTTGTTTTTACGACTACATGTAAATCGATCAATATATGGAATAAAATTAAGTACAATATTTAATATTTATCGAGTTCTTATAGTTCCTGAGATCGACGATATCATTCGCACTCTTACTCTATGTAAAAGCTTTTACACAAAACTATTCTATTTCGAAAGTAAATAAAGATTTTGAGAACAATTATATATGTATATATATATATATATATATATATATATATATATATTTATACATTATATATCCTTTGATGCTTGTAAGTATTTTCGAAAACCCAACAATCCCTCCTTCAAGATGATACATGGAATTTTCAAGGAATCTACAACTTTCAATCATGCGTGTCCATATAGTGTAAGTAAAATATCATCATACATAATTTACTTGACTCTGCTTATTTTCTTAATTAAAGGGAAAGCAAACAGTTAAAGACTTTTATCCTCGCACCGAAAAAATTCTGATTCCACTTCCAACAGGGGACTATTTACTAAATCTAACGTTTATATTCAAACAACAACACACCATTGATGTCTGTGTTTACTTTACTTATGTCGAAAACTTAATTTAAGTAATTAAGTAATTAAGTATGTTCAGCATTTTAGTTCAATGTCATTTAAAAAGTCACTGAAATAAATAATAAAAATTGCAGACTTATGATTAAAATCATCCTATATTAAAAATCATAATTAAGGATCTCTTTTTTTTCTAAATCGATATTTAATAATCTACCGGATAATTACAATCGACAATTAAATCAGAAAATCGCATTGTGCCGACTTAAAAACTGAAGAGAAGCAGAGAGAGAAAAAATGTTAAATATATATATATATATATATATATATATATCACACAGGGGCCTCGAAGTATGACCAACTTCAGATAGTTATAGCAGCTGTTGTTTGACAGCTACATAATGATGCTTAATGACAGTTTTGAATACAGTTTATCATGAATGAAGCCGAATGACAGTCACAGTATTGTTTAGAAACGTGTAAAAGAATCTTCCCAAAAAATGAACATAAAAAATGTATACTTGTGATTGCATTATACTTAGCTAGAAAATCGCAACCATTTTTAATCTAAAGATTCTATGTTGTAAAATTTGGAGCTTATATTTACATTAGAGGTATAGTTTAGATGTATAAATGGAATAAAATAAATGTTATTAATGTTATTACTTATTAATGATAGCTGTAAAAGGGTAGCAGATACAGTTTCATCTGATTTACTAAGCCCGAATCTATGTATATATATAACAGACATTTCGATTTTGGGATTGCTAAGCACGTGTATATATATGTTTATTTTAAATTTAAATCTCTATTATTATCTATCGGCATATCCAAAATACTACTCGTGTTATTAAACTCCAAAAGAAAATGAGTTCAACAAATGTGCTACAAACTAAAATTAAAATGTTGAAAACTGATAAAGTTATCTACGAATTAATAAAGAAAAAATCTACTCAACAAAATACTAACTGTTGTAGAATCCAAAATCGCCTTCTTCTGCCCGTTACATATATTTTAACAAATCCATTATACTCTGTTCTCTAGTTCAGAGTAAAACTAATGTTAAATACCAAAGCAATTGGCAACAGATTATCTAAATATACATATTTTTATTTTTTGTTTATTGTAATATTCAATAGCATAAGTTAATTCAGTCATTTACATCAAATCATACTCTTTGGTCTTACGGACACCGCAATGGGAAATATATCTAGATATTTTGTGGTATTGTTGGCACTTCTGTTAATATTTAAACTTAATGTGAGTGCTTGAAAATTTACTTTGAAATATAATTAATTCGTTTAATATGACAAATTTACAGAACGGCGTCGTTATTAAAATGACGAATGTCGTTTGCGAGTCCAAAAACAAGTCGTGGGTGATAGTTGAAAAATGTCGCCTTCGTGCATTGCAACGCAACAAGACCGTTATAAATCTGTTCATAGACGCGCTACACCCTGTATATAATATAATCGTGGGCTACGAAATACAAAAACGGGCCAACGGCTACAAACCTTGGGTGATAAAAGGTGCATTTAATCTTTGCAAATATATGAAAGGATTGAAAGGAAAATTTGAGAGTATAGTTTTTGATCAAATCAGAGAATATACAACGTTGAACCATACTTGTCCTTATGTTGTGAGTAATACGTGTTATTTTACCATATTATTATTTGAAAGCGGTATTATATATATACATATATATTTAGGGCAAGCAATACATTAAAGATTTTTACCCGAATACTGAGAAGTTTCCCTTGATTTTTCCAACTGGAGAATATGTCATTCTTGTGAATTTCAACGCTTCTGGAAGAACCCAACTTATTACAAATATTTACTTTACATTTGTAGAGAATTTACTAACTGCGTCTTAGTATTTTAAATATTCTAATTGCATTACAATTATCAATTTGTTTGTGCTGGTCTATGTTTGTTCACACGTAACTAATAAATGTTATTCAAAGTAAAGTCTTTTGTATTTAATATGATAAGCAAATGAGAGACTGATATCCCTATTAAGTTGTATATAAAGGAAATCATATCTAACATATATATTTATATAAATATTGAGAGTAAACACAAAAGAGAACCTTGCATAGAACTAAATACTATAGAACTATACTATATGTCGACTGGAAAAGAGTGCAACAGATAATTTCAGATAAATTTCATATGCATATATAAATATATATATATAAAGAGTACAAAAAATAATTATTATACCATCAAGAAAATTTCAGTATGGCATATCAAAATAATTCAAATGCAGTCAAATCAAACCATCGCGATAACAAACACATCTCAATATTTGTTGGTTCTATAAGGAGTTCTTAGTTTACTAAAGTACAATGTAAGTGCCGACAGTTTATATGGAAAATGAAATAATTGAACATTTTTTAGAGTGGAATCGTCTTTAAAATGACGAATTGAGACTTGTCGCCTTCACGCATTGCAGCGCAACAAAACCGTTTTAAATATGGTAGTAAATTTGATAGAACAAGTCAATTATATAATTCTGGAGTATGCATTTCAGAAAAGAGCCAATGTCTACTAACCTTGGGTGATAAATGGCGCATTGATGTTTGCAAATTTATGCATCACCCGAACGATAAGTTTGCAAGTTGCTTTTTGATCAAATTGAAGAACATACAATGCTCAACGATTTCTTTGTTGTGAGTAATGAGTTTAATTACCATAACAATATTTCAATAGATCATTTTTCGAATCTTTATAGGTCATCAAATCTGTTCAAAAATATTACTCGAAAACTGATAAGTTACCGCATTTTTTTCCAACTGGAGAATATGTATTTTTTCTTAAATAGCAGCTTAAAGGAAAACTCCATCTGACTACTAACATTTATTTCATATTTGTTGAAAATCTAAAAATTGTGTTCCAAAAATATTTTAAGTATTCAGATAGTTTCAAGTGTAACTAATGCAAATTTATTATTCAAACCCAAAATTAAAATCTTGTGTATTAATTTAGTATTTTTCTTTGCAAATTGATATCCCAATAAAATTTTGGCAATCATTAACTGCAAAACTGACAAACAAACAAAAAAGTAAGATCAACGACTTATTTGAAAAAATGCGCGAAAGCTACAAAGCGTAACTAATTTCAGTAGTTCGATTATTCATAATACTTGGTCGATAACAGTGCTCAGCTATCGAGAAGACGAATGAACGAGCCGGTTCTCTTGTGAACTAACTCTATTGATTACTAAAACAAAAAGAATTTGGCAAAAACATTTGGGATTGCTGCAAAGCTGCTGAAGAATTCTATTGTAATCATTATAAGCAGCAAGCATGGATGTGATTAACAAATTCTATTCGTCCGCCGTGCAAACCGTTTCGCAGCTTTCAGGCGTGTTGCCTGGAAATAATGTTACACGGGAATATGAAGTGTTGGACCAGATATGCACAGCGGGTGTGGGTAAGATGCAGAAAAATTCGCTAACATATGCGCATACTGTCAACCAGTTATCAATATTTTAATTATTTAGGACTGATGTGGAAGGTTTACAATGGCCACAAGAAAAGCACCAAACAAGAAGTATCTGTATTTGTGTTTGAGAAAAAGGTACTAGAACGCTGGTCCAAAGACGACCGAGAGATTATGCTCGAGACGTTGCGCCGGGGCGTGCAGCAGCTAACGAAAATTCGACATCCACATGTGCTCACCGTTCAGCATCCGCTGGAAGAGAGTCGGGACTCATTGGCTTTTGCCACAGAACCAGTATTTGCATCCCTCGCTAATGTTGTTGGTGACTCGGTGCGGTCGGAGAAGAAGCTCTACGATGTTGAGATACGGCATGGCTTGCTTCAACTGTTTGATGGCCTCCAATTTCTGCACAACGACGCTAAGATTGTGCATCGCAATATCAGCGCCGAAACGATTGTGATCAACAAGAACCGTAGCTGGAAACTGTTTGGCTTTGATTTCTGCATAGCTAATCAGCCAGCAACAAATGGTACACCTCACTGGCCTTGCAGGGAGTATAGCACGTCACTTCATGTACTGGCACAGCCCAGCTTAGAATATACAGCCCCAGAGTTGGCATTGAACAGTGTAAACACGCCGGACAGTGACCTTTTCTCATTAGGTATGTTCATTTTTATATGACTTCAATTTCGCTCTGTAAACAATTATATTTTAGGCGTGCTCATATTTACTATTTACTCGGGAAAGCCGTTGAAAATGTTTGGAAGTGATTACAGTAGCTTTCGCCGTTACGCAAATGAGTTGAATCAGCGAAAGTACCCACCAATGAATACAATACCGGGCGAACTGACAGAAAGCGTGAAAGCCCTGCTGCATCCCAGCGCAAGCTTGCGGCCAAAGTTGCATGAGCTAAAAACGATTGCGTATTTTCAGGACGTTGGCGTAAAGACACTAAGCTATTTAGACTCCCTTTATCAATGGGACAATCTACAGAAATCAAAGTTCTATAAGGGTCTGCCGCAGATTATACCTACCCTGCCCCATCGAGTTAACTTACACTCGATATTACCCTACTTGATAAAGGAGTTCGTCAACTCTCCCATGATACCATTCGTTCTGCCCAATGTTCTGCTGATTGCCGAAATGAGCAGCCAGCGAGAATATTGCGATCACATATTACCGCATTTGAAGCCCATTTTTAAGCTAACGGATCCCATACAGATTCTTTTGATATTCATGCAAAAAATGGATTTACTTCTCAAACTAACGCCGGCAGAGGAGGTAAAGCAGAGTGTGCTGCCGCTGCTCTATCGATCACTGGAATGCGACATGCCACAAATACAGGAGCTCTGCCTGGCTGTACTACCAACCTTTTCCACTCTCATTGACTACAATGCCATGAAAAACTCAGTAATTCCACGTATCAAGAAACTCTGTCTACTCAGCAACAATGTTTCGGTGAAGGTTAACTGTCTTATATCCATTGGCAAACTATTAGAGAACTTGGACAAGTGGCTGGTTCTAGATGAGATTCTGCCCTTTTTGCAGCAAATACAAAGTCGCGAACCTGCAATTATAATGGCTATAATAGGTAATTATATTAATTTAATGATATACGTTCCATCTTCGTAACCTTATAAACTCATTACTACAGGTATTTATAAAATCGCTATGACGAACACAAAGTTGGGCATCACAAAAGACGTAATGGCGCACAAATGCATACCGTTCCTTGTGCCACTGAGCGTGGAAAATGGACTAACCATAGCCCAATTCAATACGATTGTGGCTCTAATCAAAGAAATGTTGGGAAGAGTGGAACAGGAGCAGCGTGAAAAACTGCAGCAATTGTCCACAATTCAGAGAGACAACAAGTATGCGTCAAATACCAAAATATTACAATTTATACAATATAATATAAATATAACTATTTCAAATAGACCTAAGGATGCTTCCGAGATACTGGCCAATGAAATGGACAACAGTACGTTGTCACCTGCCGGCAGCAATGGCAATAAGAGTGATGATGATATGTTCTCCGGCTTCAGCGTGGGTCAGACATCGCGCACTGTAACGCCAAAGCCTGTCGCTCCGGCACTTGCTCCTGTCAAAACTAAGGAACAGCTCAAGTAGATGATAATTCAAGCAACGCTAAATTCTGTAAAAACTTTCTCAATTATTTGATTTTCAGAATAACGCACAATACAACGACGGAGACAGCACTTAAAACGGATATGCTCTCATTAATGCAAAGCAACATGAGCAGCTTGAGCACTGTCCAGAGCCCACCAGCGGCAGCAGTAGCTACTCCACCTCAACTCGCGTTGCCCTACAATGCCTGCGGTAATAATAGCAATAATTGGCATAGCGCAAATCCATTGGTCATGAATCATCAGCTAGCCTCGCCGCAGGCTAGCAGCAACAACAACTTCTCTTCGTTGGACGATTTAGATCCATTTGGATCCGGCGGTGGCGCCAGTCAGATTGCCAAACCGAATAATGCTAATAGTGCCAATATGTATACGTTGCAGCAACCCACTGTCAACTATATCTATCCGACGGGTTACAACTCGATAAATAGTATAAACAGCATGCAACCTGGCATCGGTGTTAGCAAGCCAATGAATCTGGGTGCAGTTGCCACAACAACGCCCACATTAATGCCACAGATGACTCAGTCTGCGGATAGTAAAAATCTAAACACTTTGTCTCAACAGGACATACTCAACTTCTTGAATTAGACACATCACAACGGCCGCATGCAGCCTAATTGCCAAATGTTTTAAATAACCATTCCATACTATATATCCATATATATATTATTATAAATTATAAATGAATGTATGTACGATTGTGTGTATGTATGTGTTGTGTGTGAGTTAACGTTTCTAAGAAGTTTTGAAGTTTTTTCTCGACAAATATCAATTGAAAATGTGAACGTGCATAATTTATTGTTAGTCTAGGCAAACAGTCAAGCAAACCTATTAAATATAGATTACATTTAGATGTGTATTGTGCAATTTGCTCCTTGGTGTAACTCAGCGTACACAAATTAGTTAAAATATATACATATAATCAATTAAAAATACCAAACTTTAATTTATTATTATTTATTTGTGTGCGAACTCTCTTCAGTTTGGTGTGAATAGTTTATGCTACAACAAGATAATTAATGCAGTACATTTAACAAAGCGTCTTTCTTCCTTAAACATAAATGGATATTTGCATTTGCCATTTGCTGGGGTCGCAGAGATTCACCTATACCTAAAAGCTAAGTAACAAGCTTGACAAAGCTGTAGCTAAGTATTTACTATCGATCGTGAGCTATGTCTCGACTAGGATGAGCGTAAAGAGGCTATGCATTTTGCGTTCCACTTCCTTATAAGCCAGCGAATTGAGACCATCGGTGTGCATGCGCAATGAGGCAGATCGAAGTAGCGCCATTCGATTTTCATTTGGTATTTCGTGTTTGTGCTTGAGCATTGTATATTCACTGTAAGCCGGATCAAAGCGACAGATTTCTATACTTAGGACTTTCAGACGCTCGTACAAATCATCATCCTCGCCACCCCAGCCATGATACAAATTTGACATGCCGTTTATCATTTTAAACTGGGAGGTGCTTATTGCCACGACGCCGCCAAAGAGTGTGCGATACGGCAAATGGAAGCGCCAGCTGTCCAGTGCCGAGCTCATATGTCTGGGCAGAGTTGTGCATGCATAGATCTGCCCGGAGTTGAGTGGCATCAGGTCAACATCGTGCAGTATTAGGCATGGAAAACCATAGCTGTTGGCCACTTTGGCGCCAATATTGAAGAGCATGGCCCGGTTAAAAGGTTTGCGGTCGCTTTGCTCCACAACAAAAATTCGATAATGGATTTGCTGCAGACGCAAATAATTGTGCATATAGTTGAGAAATGCAGCCAGCTGTTCCTGACGATCCCGATAGGGCACAATAATAGCTGTGCTGTATCGTGCACGGCATTCTTCTGGCTGATATTCACCGCCCAGTCGTATTTCCTCACCACGAAGAATTTTTTCCCGATGGAATGCATCGTAGACGAACTTGCTGTCAGCTAGCGTCTCCTTGTATGTGCAATCGATCGCCTGTTGAGATGAGATGTTTGAAGTGGTGACTGCAAGCAGCGCATCCTCCATTCTCTCCTTGTCGATGTAGTCATAGCGCAGGGCAAATCGATGAGGCAGTAGAATATAGACGAGTATCGTTAAAGCGGCACTGAGAAGAAGCAAGTCAAATATATGAAAGCTGTGCTGGCATAGCCGTACAAACATTATTCACTATTATAGTATTAACGCTAGTGGAACGCTACGGCTCATAGCTTTAGTTTAAATATTCGTTTGCAAATTGTATGTGAGAGCAGAAATGAGCAAAATTGCAGCCAGCGGAGCAGTGCAGAGAAACAAAATAAAATCTGCAATAGCATAACAGAATATGAGAAGCTGTTAATAACATTTCGATACCTTAAAATTGCTGTTTACTTTTGAATTAAAATAAAATATGGTGAACATATAAGTAATATACTTAAAAAAATTGTTTTTAATACAATTTGTTAGTCTTCTGCTAAATAAATGGCAAACATAAATGCAACTTTGAGTTAAATTAAGTTTAATATACAGCATTTAACATGACATAAACGCTCAGCTGTTTAATACGTGAACTATTGTGAATGGCTACAGTGGTTGGCAGTAAGATTTATTGGTATGTATTCTTACACTTTTGAAATATAAACATCCAACCGCTTTGACTTTTTAACAATTTTTTTTTTAATTCAAATAATTTAATATGAAACTGTTCTGCATCAGATGCTTGAAAAAAAAAGATAAAGAAGAAGAACAACACAAATAGCTTCATACATATTTTAGTTGATAACGCTGTGGCTGATAAGAAATTCACTTTCAACTTGTGGCAGTTATTCATCAGAGGTAAACCTGTGTACACTTATCCCTATTTGCTTAACAGGAATCAGCGGAAATGTTCAACACATATAAATATTCTGTTTACCTAGTCATATGTTGTTACTTTTTTGGATTGCGCGCTGACAGAGATCATTCACTGCGATGTCAGTAAAATATATTTCGATATAAAAAAGTTTCTTAATTATATCCATAATAGTTAAAAACTGCACAACGACAGGGGACTGCCCTGATCATTCCATATGTTCTAAAGTCGATGGCAACTACAATTGCATCTGCGGGCAGGGATATCATTGGAATCCCGACTGGTCAGCTGGAAACATTGATATGAGTGACGCCGACTATTGCTACAGCGAGCCGGCAAATAAAACCGGTACAACTGAACACAATCGCCTACCCGCTAAGAGCGAGCATCTGGCAGTCGTCGTTCTACTCGTGTTATTTGCAGTCATCATTGTCACTCTCATACTATACGGTATTGTCGTACTTCGCCCAATTAGTCGAACTCAAGCCATTTATCATCGTATAAAATTGAAGCGTTCGAACCATAATCGGCTCGAAGAGTTTTACGATATTGACATGACTTTCCGAGGCACGCATACAGCGGAAGAACAAGCTTGAATTAACATTTCGATATTATATCAATTTGAAAGACTGCAAATATATAATATTTACGTGTGTAATACATAAACATTATAAGCAATATATAATAACTAATTTTTCTTTACAATTTAATTTCTAGTGTGCCACTGTTAAGCATTCTTTCATTTTTAGTGCTAAATGCACTTTTAGTATATCATAAAAATATCACCATAAAAATACCAATTTAGATAGGTCTATCGTTTCTACGGTATTAACGCACAGAACCGGCTGAGATATAATTCCTCATTATTTACAACAAATGATTAAAGACCCAAAACTTGCCAAATGACATCAATTATTAAATTACACACCATATCGGGTGCAATGGATGAATCGCCGCCGTGCTACATTCTACAAATAGACGATGTCCGAATATTGCTCGACTGCGGTTGGGACGAAAAATTTGATCCAAATTTTATAAAGGAATTGAAAAGGTAAGGGACAAAACTGAATAAATATTAAAATTGAACGAATTTTATTTCAGGCAAGTGCATACACTGGACGCCGTACTGCTCTCACATCCAGATGCATATCACCTGGGCGCGCTACCATATCTCGTTGGCAAGCTGGGCCTCAACTGTCCCATTTATGCGACGATACCTGTCTTCAAAATGGGGCAAATGTTCATGTACGATTTATATATGTCGCATTTCAACATGTACGACTTCGATCTATTCTCATTGGATGATGTAGATACAGCCTTCGAAAAGATCACACAATTGAAGTACAACCAAACGGTCTCCTTGAAAGGTAAAGGCTATGGCATTTCCATAACTCCGCTCAGCGCGGGCCACATGATTGGCGGCACCGTTTGGAAGATAGTGAAAGTTGGCGAGGAGGATATTATCTATGCCATAGATTTCAATCACAAGAAAGAAAGGCATCTCACTGGCTGTGAGCTGGACAGATTACAAAGACCATCGCTGCTAATCACCGACGCATACAATGCACAATACCAACAGGCGAGGCGACGAGCACGCGATGAAAAATTGATGACCAACATTTTGCAAACTGTACGCAATAATGGCAATGTACTCATCGCTGTGGACACAGCGGGTCGCGTACTGGAGTTGGCGCACATGCTTGATCAATTGTGGAAGAACAAGGAGTCTGGACTAATGGCCTACTCGTTGGCACTGCTAAACAATGTCAGCTACAACGTAATTGAATTTGCCAAGTCGCAAATCGAATGGATGAGCGATAAGCTAACGAAAGCCTTTGAGGGCGCGCGTAACAATCCGTTTCAATTCAAGCACATCAATCTTTGCCACACGCTAGCCGATATATATAAGCTGCCCGCGGGTCCAAAAGTAGTGCTGGCCAGTACACCTGACATGGAGAGTGGATTTACCCGCGACCTATTTGTGCAATGGGCGGGAAATCCAAATAATAGCATTATTTTTACAACACGTACCGGTCCAGGTTCCCTCAGCATGGAGCTGGTGGAAAATTTTACGCCTGGCAGACAGATTGAACTGGATTTGCGGCGACGCGTTGAACTTGAGGGCCCTGAGCTGGAGGAATATCTGCGAACGCAGGGCGAAAAGCTAAATCCGCTTATAGTGAAACCAGAAGCGGAAGAGGAGAGCAGCTCCGAGTCTGAGGATGACATTGAAATGAGTGTGATTACAGGCAAGCATGATATTGTGGTGCGGTCCGAGGGGCGCCATCATTCCGGTTTCTTTAAGTCAAATAAACGGCATCATGTGATGTTCCCCTACCACGAGGAAAAGATTAAGTATGACGACTATGGCGAAGTTATCAATTTGGATGATTATCGCATTGTGGATGCTGGCTATGACTACGCACCCATGGATGAGCAAAACAAAGAGAATATCAAAAAGGAGGAGCCACATGTCGAACAGCAGTCCAATGGCAACTTAGATAACGATGTCCAAATGCTGGAGAAACCCACAAAATTGATCAGTCAACGCAAAACCATCGAGGTCAATGCTCAAATACAACGCATTGATTTCGAAGGACGATCTGATGGCGAATCTATGCTAAAGATTCTCTCACAGCTGCGTCCGCGACGCGTCATTGTAGTGCACGGCACAGCGGAGGGCACACAGGTAGTGGCCAAGCACTGTGAGCAAAATGTAGGCGCTCGCGTCTTTACTCCACAAAAAGGCGAAATAATCGATGTGACAACTGAGATTCACATCTATCAGGTGCGCCTAACAGAAGGTCTCGTCTCCCAGCTACAATTTCAGAAGGGCAAAGATGCGGAAGTGGCCTGGATTGATGGTCGCCTCGGTATGCGCCTCCAGGCCATCGATGCACCAACTCAATCGGAAGTCACTGTAGAGCAGGATGTGGCAGCGCTAGAAGGCAAAACTCTCACGTTAGAGACACTTGAAGAAGACGAAATACCCGTTCACAATTCGGTGTTGATCAACGAACTGAAATTGTCCGATTTCAAGCAGGTGCTCATGCGCAACAACATTAACTCGGAATTCTCCGGCGGCGTCCTCTGGTGCTGCAACGGCACTCTGGCGCTACGGCGTGTCGATGTTGGCAAAGTGGCTATGGAGGGCTGCCTATCCGAGGAATACTACAAGATACGCGAACTACTCTATGAGCAGTACGCTATTGTATAAAGAATAAAAAATTATTTCCAAGTTTCTGCTTTTTCATCTATTATTTAGTATTTAGTGTTCTATTGTTTATAGAAATTGTAGCATGGGATCATCGGTGCGAGTGCGTTTTCTCTTCCATTCCTCGATTTCTTCCTCGGTGGGCGCCTTAACGTCGTACATGCTGTTGTATGGACGCTTCCTATCATCAACCTCTTCAGATATATGCTTTGATTTGGACGTGGACGTCTCTTTTTCTTTAATTTCTTTGTGTTTCTTTTTGTTTTTTCGCTGTTCCTTGGCCTTCTTTTTCTTTTCGCGTTTCTTGGATTTTTTCTTAGATTTTTTGCTCTGCTTTACTTCCTCTTCAGATTCGGAAGACTCTTCTGTACTGTGCGCAGAGTCTACTTCGGAGTCAGCTGCTTTATTCTCAACATCCTCTTCCGCCTGTATGCGTGGTACAGCATCTACAACTGGAGCTGCAACAGAAGCCGCACTCGATATGGTATGCTGCTGTTGCTGCTCTGAGTAGCCTTCCGGTTCTTGCATACCCACGCAATATGAGTTCTTAATGAAGGATTTGCAGCATTTGTAGCCCCAACGACCGGCATTCCAAAAACTACCCCATATGGTCGTATGATTGTTAATGTACACATCCTCCTCGTATATGCTGCGGGCTTTTGGTTTCTCAATGCCTTTAATGACCTTGCCGCTACGCGAATACTCTACGTATTCCTCGGTCTGGGCGAGCAGCAGCGATTTTGGCGGCGCCTGTAAGTGCTCTTCGCCACCGTACTTTTCTACAATATCCGTTTTGGTCTGCAAAAAAAAACAATATTAGTTTTCACTTGGTAAAGTTTAGTTGTATTTCACTCACACTTGACTTGAACTGTTCCTTTTTCTGTTCGTATTCCTTTTGGAGCAGCTCCAGCTTTGTGGGCTCGGCCAGCAAGTGCACATCAACACCCTTACCATGCGCCTCCCATGCAAACAATTGAGCAGTTGCTTGTGCTGTGGTGTCCCCAGAGAAACGAACAAAATTCTCTCCGGCAAATTCCGCTCTACAAATGAAATAAAATCATTAGTTAAAGATTTTAGAAATGCACAGATAAATTCACTTACTCCTCCGCAGGTACGGCTGGATTGGGATTATCTCGCATAGAGCGTGTCTTCGGGTCATAGTAAGCTGAATTCGGATCCAAATTACGCAAATATTTTGCTGTATCCTCGCGTATACGCAAATTACGCACCGTAATACGCTGCTTCGAATCGACTTTTGTGCCAGGCATGTCCACCTCGTCAACGTATTTATCTTCGTTACCCTCATCACCAGAGATTTCAGCATCAGGATCTGTGACAAATATATGTTTTTATGAGATGCTAGAATTTAGATTAGATTTAGATTACTAACCATTCTTTAGTTTCTCAGCCTTTAGCTGTCGTTTTGCTTCCTCTACTTTTTCATACTCCTCGATAATTTCTCGATGGTTAGCCGGATCGTAGGAGCTCCAGCGATCTCTCTTCTCATCGTAGTTAATCGAGGAATCGGTCACAATATGCTCGTCGTGCACCACAATCGATTCGGCGTACTTGGCCTGGACTTTTCGCGGCCTTTCCAAGCAATCTTTTTTCTTGTGCGTCATGGCGCCACAATTTTCGCAGGCGCCTTTACGAAACTTCGTTACGAATTTGGTCGTGTCCAGACCCTTGGGTGCTATGTTGTCCAATTGGCCACGTTCATCCTCATGCTGTGGGCGCTGATGTTTCAATGTGGGCCCCTGTGAGCCATAGTACCAGGGCGCATTGGAAATGTATTGCGGTATATGTGGATTTATGTCACGACCCTCTTCGTCGACTGCGGCTGGTGCAGTACCCGCTTTTCGGGCCTCTTCCAGCTCCTTTGCCTTGCGCCAATCTTCGCGTGACTTCTTCTTTGGCTCGTCATCGACATCCTGATCATCTTTGTTGTGAATTATTTGGGAAACAGGTGTCCGAACAGCACCAGAACTCATATTGGGCGTTGTTGGTAATTATAAATCGCATAAACAATCAAAAAATATTGTTTTCATATCGCTGGTACAATGGAAATGAGAGAAACGTACAGCGACAAAGTAAATTAGCAGATATATCGATAAATTTACCCAAATGTCATGGATGGACGATAAGACATACATGCCATTCGATATTAACGTCGACACATAAATAGCAATACGCGACCGTCAAGTGACTGGCAACCCTGACGGCGTCTCATTCGTGTAAAAATTATACTACAGTGCGGACGCGTCTAAATTCTAAAACTACTAAGTTTCAATTTAGTTATTACAATCATTCCACGCATAAACAAACAAACTACGTGCCTTGTGCGATTTTTATACTTTAACCACAACTGAAAACTCAATTAAATAAAAATGGTAATATTAATAACAAAAATAGTGTTGCGGCCCATCGCAATCTGCTTAGCGAAAGCAGTTTGACATATATTATTGCGCGTGCCTTGCCAATAGCGAACTGAAATATTAATGCTACCACCGCGAGCTTAGCGTGAATATTAGGAATTGTGACTGACGTTCGCTATTGGTGTGCGGTAATATTTAAATTATGAGAAATTTAATGTGTTATTTTGTGGCGGGGCGGCAAAACGTTCAAACTTAACCTCAAATTTCTGCTCTTAAGTCGATTTTGCCGCCACCATTTTGTGTGGCGCATTTCGTATTCTGTTTGGCTTATGTTCTTTGTGTGCGTGTTATTTGTGTTTTACTAATTCTGTGCGTAATTCTGTTCTACAGGCTGGTGGCAAAGCAGGCAAAGACTCTGGTAAAGCCAAAGCGAAAGCGGTTTCTCGCTCAGCGCGCGCGGGCCTTCAGGTGAGTTACTGTTGTTGTCTGTACTAAATAAATTTTGGCGCCTTTTTTACCATCGCACATACATACATATATATATGCACACACATTGTAAACAGGGTGCGTTTCAAAGTACCGTATATGCGTGTATTTGTGTGTTCGCTTGTGTTGGTGCGCTGAGAGCTGAGAAGTAAATAGCTTATGATACATTGGGGGTAGCAAAACATAAACAAGAGATGAACTTTCCTTCTAATGCGATTTTTATGTTCCTTAATACCAAACAGTTTCCCGTTGGTCGTATTCATCGCCATTTAAAGAGCCGCACCACATCTCACGGGCGAGTTGGTGCAACTGCTGCCGTCTACTCTGCAGCCATTTTGGAATACCTAACTGCCGAGGTAATATTTTCGCGCCATACAGATTTGTATTTCGTTTATCAATTTCCTATTAGCAAATGTAACGGTTTTTTAACCTATCAATGCAAATGCAGTGCGTGTGTATTAGTAAACGTTGACAACTTTTGTTTACATATGCTAAACTGTTAACATTGTACTATATTACCATATCAGTGCTATGTTAGTTAACATTCTTATTGGATATGATGGTCTTATGTGATACTTTAATCTATTATGGTTATTTTTGCAGGTGCTGGAATTGGCAGGCAATGCATCGAAAGATCTAAAAGTAAAGCGTATCACGCCGCGTCACTTGCAGTTGGCCATTCGTGGAGATGAGGAGCTCGACAGTCTGATCAAAGCAACCATTGCCGGTGGCGGCGTCATTCCGCACATACACAAGTCGCTTATTGGCAAGAAAGAGGACTCCGTGCAGGACCCACAACGAAAGGGCAATGTCATTCTGTCGCAGGCCTATTAATATATATTTTCTACTTTTTGACCATTTCGGAATAAACAAAATTCACATCTATGTTTAAAAATAAATTACAAAACTTAATGACGCGTTGTAACATTTCTGTGCGAAGCTTCGAGGCCTAAGCATAACTTCTAATTTACAACAATTTCAAACTAAGCCACTTCTACCGTCAATAGGCAACATAAATAAACATTCAACATAACCTACACCCACACATACACACGCATACACATACACACACACACACTCACTTACACACAAATGTAAACTTAATTGTCAAGCAAAATGCAATGTTAAATGAGATACGAAGATTAAACAAATACAAAACTTAATTTAGAGCAAAGTAAATTACACAAATAAATTTAATAAAACTTTAAATACAAAATAAAAACATCGAAATGCCCAAATTGTTATTGGAACATTTATTAGACAATTATTTGTTGAAATAAACTTTGTGCACAAAATAGTAAAATTATATTATTTAAAATAACTGGGCATCCATGAAACATGGGGCACGCGGCATGGGGCACGCTTAACCCAGCAAATGTGGCACGGCATTTTGCACATCGTCGCAACGCTCCTTGAGGTCCTCGGCATCCAGTTCCAGGCAAGCGCCCCACTCAATCAATGTGATGCGATGATCTTTGTTGGAGTCGCATGACTCTAGGAATGGTGCGATGCAATGCTCCAAGCTGACCAACGGTGCGCGTATGGGGAACAGCTCGTGGCGGGAGACAGAGCGATCGGTGTCGCCATCCAGATCGCACCATTTCCACACGGCTGCGTTGGCCCAACGGCGCGAGTTGTTCGTCTCGGCTTCCAGCTCCATTTGCATGTAGTGTTCGGTCAGTTCGTCGCGCTCGGCCAGATCGCGCATCACGTTGAACAGCCAGTCGCGCATGCGACGCGGGAAGTCCTTCAGATCTTCGCCATCGCACACACGTGACTCATGGCAGGCGCCATAGTAGTCGATATGAAGATGCGAGTTGTCCGGATGACGGCAGCCGGGATTCTTGATGTCGCACCAGCAGCGCTGCTGATAGACAGCGCAATCGGATGGCCACGTCTCGTTCTTGTTGGTGCACACATGACGACGCGTGTCCGATTCGTCGGGGCAGTCGGGAATGCAGATGCACTCAGGCTTGCCATCGCTCAGCTGGCAAATGCGACCAGCGCCGCAATGCATGGTCTCGCAGGGATCAACCTCGACAACCGGATTCAATAGATTGTGCTGTACATCCGCCAATTTCTGGGCCAGCTCATTCTCGCGCTCCAAATCCTTATTCTAAGATCAGATAAAACTTTCGGACATAAAAAGTTTCTGCAACTGAAGTGAGTTGAAGTGAAGCAGTACACACCTTGGCCTTCTCCTCCAGCAGCATGAGAAACTCTTCATCGTTTTCGTCGAACTCGGCTATGTCCTCCAAGTCGAGATTGTCGTCGGACTCCTCGGCGCGCACTTGCGACAGCGCCAGCAGCCCCAAACAGAGCAGCAGCCAAACAGAACGCATCTTGCCACGAGTTTCACTCAAAACTAAAACAGGTCCAGCATATTAATTATATATATATGCTATAAGAATATATATATATATATATATATATATATATATATATATATATATATATATATATATATTCTTATATATATATATATATATATATATATATATATATATATATATATATATATATTTCTAGCTAATCTCATGTGCGACAGGTCGTAAAGTTCAGCGATTATGCTGAGCCTTTATTGGCAAACGCAGCTGAAATTTATTTTGGAATTTAGCGCCAATAAGAAATTCTTGAAGTTCTGGGACTGTACTGCTGCTGTAACGGTAAGCAACCCCCTTATTGTATTGGGGTGGCTTCCAAGACATTTCATTACATGTATATATACACTTATATATATATAAGTATGTGTGCATGCTTATATATGTGTGTGTGAAAGGTCAAATTGAAGAAAGTGAAGGAATTTAGTGGAAACAATGCGCTTTCATTGTTAAGAATTATGAAAAACAAGGCAAATGAAGCCTATAAATTATACGCACTGATATGTGTGATTCCAGAACAGATTTCAACATTTTGTTGGTTTTCAATATTAGGAGTAAATTATTTTTAGAAAAACTAAGTTTGATAGTTGCCAATTTAAAAAAAAAGCAGTTAGAAAACATTAAAATCTTTTGTTTTTGCAATTGAACAACTCAATACGAAGTTAGCTAGAAACAAAAAGTGCATGAAATATTATAATATTTTATAGTAGTTATTTATAGTTTTTTTGAATTTCGCTTGAGGGAATTATAAAATAAAATAGTTTTTGTTCAAAACCTTTACAATAGATTTATAATAAAATTTTTTTTTATAATTCCTTCAAACGAAATTAAAAAACTTAAAAAAAAAATATTCTACAAAAATATCAAATAATTTTAAAAAAATTTGTTAATTTTTTTAATCAGTTTTAGATCCAGAAAATCAATTTTGAAGTCATCAATTGTCAATCAGAACTAAGACAAAATTTGCAATGAAAGTTGATTCAGTTATAAACCTACGTCTTCCTAAAACCCAACCCCAATTTAGCTGCAATATAAACATCTTTTGGGGCATATTCAAGCAACTTTAATGAAACATTCGCAAATTTCGAGTACAAATTATTTGGGGGCATGTTGAACACATGTTCCACAGTTCAAAGCATTTGAAATTTTTTGTGAACGCAATTCTGAAATCATTTCTATATACGAAATGCTTATATGCAAAACTCGCCTCTCTCTTCATCTCTTTTCAGTTAGTTCTGATTAGACTTGACCTCAATGCTGGGGTAACAAAAAAATTGTGGGTCAATAGTTTTGTGATGAAGCAATATTTTAATCTGTCAACTAAACTTTATATAACTGTAATATATATATATTTATATATATATATATATATATATATATATATATATGTAAATCTGTATATTTATATGTGGGCTCATAACGACAATGACAAATGTGGAGCGTGTTCTGTGGCTTATCTCTAGCCTGAGCTTCCGTTTTGGTACTTGAGATTTGCTTAATCGCCGCCTTTTGAGCGAAGCAAAACGCGCAATGGTTTGATTGTGCCACATACAATTCCTATATACACAGTCAATTCATATCTATATATACACATGCATACAGTATTCATACACACACACACACATTCACACACGGAGCATATTTAGATGCATCTGGACAATGCAACAGTTTTCCAGGAATATTTCCGCCGATGCTGCGTGGGTGTGAGGGAGAGAAAAAGAGTGTATGTGTATTTGTATGTGTATGTGTGTGTGTGTGTATGAAACGATGCAGTTTAATTAGAACATAAACCGACAAAGAATGACGTGATGCAGCGCATATATCCACAGATATTTTTGTTTGTGTGGAATCCAGCAATTCATTTACACTGCAATCAGAAGCTACACTGAGCAAAAAACCGATGCTAACAACCGAGACAAACTGAACAGAGACAATTTTCACTTAAATTTAGATTACTTCATGCCTGAATTCATTGCTCGCTAGTTAATAAACTCAACTGAAATCAACGCAAATTTCTTCAAGTGTTGCAAGGGAATTGAATTTACGGAACTGCACTTAGATTGAGGCACTTCTACGGCGAGCGCTAACCTTGGAATGGTTAAAAACTAAAAACTTTCGAGCAATTCAATGAAATCAATTGGCAATATTTGCTATATATGCCAGAAAATTGAGTTCAATTAACTGTTACTTTGAACCTGAATATCGGAATACGATTTAAAGCTGAGGCACGCAGAAAGGCAACATCACTCGAATTTCAAAACTTTTCGATCAATCACATTTTCTACCAGAATTGTTCTTTTGCCACACATACTTACAATTGCCAACGAATTTGCTATTTGAATTCCTGGACGATTTGGAGAATTCGTATGTCCGAATGCGTCGACGGCAGACGTATGACTGTTGATTGGGGCAGCTGTTGGTTAGGCGACGCGGCGATTACGGATCGCGCATTAAATGCCCACATATCACTAAGCTGGCCAAACTTGTTGGCTGCCAACATGTTCGGTGCAATAACAACACAGATTTTTCTTACTCAAATAGGTTTTTGATTTTATTCATAGTCAATGGAACTTAAGCAAATATACTCTATTTAGTGGCACGCCAAGCAGAGTGCCGAAAGTCAATCGTAATACAAGTCAAATATAATAGAATAACTTACCTTCACAGATCTATAAAGATATTCTGTTCTAGCTGTGTTTGGCTCCTCATATCCAGCAGTGCTTAAAGGAAGTTTTTCATTTGGAAAGAAATATTTTTGTGATTCTCTTAGAAAAGCTGCATAAGTGTTTTTTTTTTGTTTTTTGTTTTGGTTTTTTTTTTATATAAATAGCGATACTTAAGTAGGACTACGAACTAGATAAATGTAATTAATTAAAGCTGTGTTCAACTAAAATTGTGCCCAACTAACTTACCTTAAGGCTTGATGGAAGCTCTTGCAAACAGGATCTACGCAAATCATATATGTATATATACATATATACATTCTATATACATATATACATACATACACTTAACATAGATTTAACTATATTTAAAAATGTTAATTAAATTAATTGTTGTTTAAACAATTCGATTTTTATGTACTTAGTTTGCTTCCGTTGTTAAACAAGACTTACTTAAAAGATTTCGACTATATCTCAGCGCAAATAAATATTAAGATATACATAGTGTGGGTTTTAAGAATTTATTTATTTAAAAATAAATATATATTTATATAGATTGATATTTGAATTTCATATTGTTATTGTAATATAATAGTTATAATAGGCTAGAGCTAAATTAAGTGGGCAAATTAAGGACTACGCTCTCTTAGTTAATCCATACATAATTTAATCCATATCTCATATAACATATATAATAAATTGAAACCAAAAAATGTAGATTCAAGCCTTTGGCGAGTGCTATGAAAAACGTAGAAATATAAACAATACATATGAAAATATATATGGTTATAACATCTGTATCTGTAAACTAAAGCTAAACTTAAAGTTCATGTCGTGGTTGAATTCTTAACAATAACAAATCATCTATTCAATTGCTTTGTTCTTCACCTGTTTTGTTTTGTTATAATTGTATATTGTATATATACATCTATAAGTGCTAGATCTGAAAATTGTCGGATGTGGGAATAATGCGCTCTGCGGCAACAGTAAAGTGAGTTTCAGTGTAAGGAAACCGTTGACAACTTAATACAACTGTGGATAGAGTGTATATCAGACATATATATATATATATATATATTTATATACATGTATATATATAGATATTTCTGTTTATAAAAATTGACAGTAAATTTGATATCAACTCGTTTAGAATTATGCATATAATATGTCTATCATAATAATTAACTTTTCTATATATTATATTAATCGCAGCCGTGCGTTGCCTAACAGCCTTTCGATTTGATTTGATTTAAATTTACTATTACTGGACGTATCTTGTCATTTGTTATTATCCCCGATGGCCAACATTGGGTTAGGCGAGCATTAAGGCGTCTAGTAACTAATATACTATTCGAATATAAGAGAGCTATGCGAGCTAGCTCTATAAGCTCTGGCTAAAGTTTGAATTAGGTTTTAATTCGTTTACAAAAATACATGCTTACGATTTGTTTGCAGTTGCTGAGCTACGCACGGGCGACAAATTTGATTTCCGTTTACACACTGAGTTACATTTTAAGCATAAATTATTATAATATTTTAAGCTAGATAGAGAGAAGGTAGAAGATGGAGAAAGAGAGCTCTAATTGATTAAATTCTAAATTGGAGTTTACAATTTGTATTCGCCGAACGCAAATATATTTCATATTTTTTGTTTTTAAAAAAATAAAGCATGGCAAGTTAACACTAAATTAAATGAAACGCAGTTGACTACAACTCTCAGTTGCATCCAGCAAAGATCTTAAATATTAGTTTCATCAGATTAATTGTCTTATTTATAAGCAAAATAAATCGCTTTAATATAAACATAAATTTGTCAATAAATAACATGAGAGCTTAGTTCCAAGAATTAAAAACATTAGTGAGTTGTTGTTGTTTGCTCAGTTAGATATATATGTATATATAAAAAAAGGAGCAACGCAGTTAATATATATATATATATATATATTATATTATCCTGTTTTTAAGTTACTAAGCGAGTGTGTGTCCTAGCTTACAACAAGCCTATTTAATTGTATCTGTATTTGTATCTTGTTTTCTGAGCTTTTGTGTTACACTTAAGGCACACACAAAAAGGTATCTATATTAAAGAGAATTATAAAGATTAGTAATTTGACATAACTTATAAGAATGGGGCACAATTGGAGTCAGTATTTGGTACCTTAAACTTCGCTTTTATTACCGCATACTAGGTATAAACGTACCATAACAATGACCGCGCAATGGTGGACAGATTTATGATTGTCTCGCGCGTTACTTACCCGAACTAACGACGATATTTGCTGTTCGCACTGGCACAGGTAGCTACCGATCCATTAGAAACGTTTTTAGGCACAGGCCCCGAGGCAGGACCATTGCCACAAGGCGGCGGTGCAGCAGCATTGTACGGCGCATAGCCGGGTGCCGTTGGCTGCTGGTTATCTGCAAACAGACAAGACTTGATGCTAAAGCACAGGATTGGAAAGAAATACCACTACTTACGATAGCTGCTGGGTGGTGCAGCAGCGTAGGGATTCATGCGGTTGCCATTCATGTTGTGCTTGGTTGGGCCGCCGCCATAATTTTGTTGATAACCACTGCCAAAGTTTGGCGGCGGCTGCTGCTGCTGTGGTGGAGGTGGCTGATGCGGTGGTGGACCCTGTGGCACCGGCATAGAACCAGGTACGGGTGGAGCCCCAGATGGCGGCATATTCCAGTTACCAACCGCCGGTGGCGGTGGACCACTGCGATGATGGTTAACGGGTGGTACGCCAGGTGTAGGCGGCTGTAAGTTTGGCGGACCGCCCCACTGATTGCCATGCCATTGTGGAGCACCTGGTGGTGGTGGCGGTGGTGCATTCCAGCCATTCTGAGCAGGTGGATATGCGTTCCACCCATTCATTTGCGGCGGCGGCGGCTGCTGATAATAGGGCTGCATAGGCGGCGGCGGTCCCCAATAATTGTAGTTTGGTGGTGGAGCTGTCATTGGTGGTGGAGGTGGTTGATGTTGATACGGCGGCATTTGCTGCGGCGGAGGTACTTGGGGACGGTAGCCAGTTGGGGGCATGTTGGCCTTAGGTGGAGGCTGCTGTTGAGGCGGCATCTTGTTGCCATTGGCTGCAGGATTCTGAACAATTCTGTCTTTCTTCTCCAAATTATAAATTGACTTTTTGACGTCCACCAACACATATTTGATAGAGTGCTGTCTCTGAACTGTGTGGATTCAATTGTTTGTCATCAACGGCACGTATTAATTGAGTTTTTTATACTTACGAATGGCCTTGTCTACGGCATCGTAGTCATCAAATTCGATAAAGGCAAAGCCTCGGCGCTTGCCGGTTGTTTTGTCGGTGAGCAATTTTACAGACACCACATTGCCGAACTGCAAGAAATACTCCCGCAAGCAATCTTCATCGTGATTGTCTTTTAGTCCGCCAACAAAGAGCTTCTTAACAGAAATATTTGTCTCTCGTGTTTCGCGCTCCGGACGCGGCAAAGCGCGCTTTGCCTCCACGGTTCTAGAACAAGATTCAGAGATAAAAGTAGATAACAAATAATGAGATTATGTCAATTACATCTAATCATACGAATATCATTGCATTGAAAACATACTTGCCGTCTATGATATGCGGACGATTCTCTTGCGCCGTATCTACCATGGCGGACTTTGTATAGGTAATAAAGCCAAAACCACGTGAGCGCTTTGTGGCGGCATCTCTCATTACAACAACATCTACCACCTTGCCCCACTGAGAGTAGAAAACTTTGAGGCTCTCCTCTGTGGTATAGGGTGCCAGGCCGCCAATGAACAGCTTGCGCAAGTGCTCCAATTCACAAATGTCCTGCAGAGCAAGTTTCAAATATATTTGTATGAGTGAATGTGCTTATTGTTTTGCGAGCAAAATGAGCTCAAATTTTTTTTATGTACCACAGCGTGCGATTCCATGGAGTGAGTGAGTGCAGGCGCCGCACTTTTAGTGATACTTACATCCTCATCTTTGATTTCGAAAATTTCGGGAGTAGTTTCCTCTGAGGAATCCTCTAACTTAATTGACTGCGGATTGTTTGCCATAGTTGGCTCACGTTTAATTATAGTTAATAAAAAAAAAATCTAGTACCGCTGCTCTTTAGACACGCACGCCAAGAAAAAGTTAAGGATGTGCAAAATATATCGTTACACGTAACTATCGATGAGTGCATATTACCGATATCTACTTTTAACTTACTCATGTTATCCAGCCCTAGTTTGTTTGTTGTTTTCATTACGTTTGTTTTGTCAAAATTGTAGCATTCTTAAACAAAATATTATATTCATTTGGTTTTAAAAAACTGGCAGATACCACAAATGCAGTAATCTGAGGTAAGTGCATTAAAGCACTTATAGCGCAGAAACCAGCTCCAAGTAAAAAATAAACTGTTGCCTTAGATATTCATAACCAACCACTCAGAGCTGCGAGCTTTGACTTTTTTATAGCTAAAACAAACTTAAAACTCGCTAAAAACACCCACAGATATGTAGGACTCAGAGTCACTGCTGTCCGTTTTGGTAAAGCTAAAACTGGCCAAAAAGACCAGAAACTCTTGTAATTAACCTTTTTTTATTTTATGATTTTTATCAGTTAAATAAACTTAAATTGTGAATTTGCTTAGATATTAAATATATTAAAGTTGGTTTAATGCTAACACGAATTTATAAGCGTTGGCGGAGGCACTAAACGGCTGCGGCGGTGCTGCTGCGGCTGCTGCTGTTGGTCAGATGGCACATGGTCTTGATGTTGTTGCTGGTGGTGGTCCGCGATGTCAACATAATTACCATTTGCACTGTGTGCGTTATTTATGAGCCTATCCTTGGGCAGCGGCGTAGGCAGCAGGGACGGCAATGACGCCGGTGCTCCATAGTAGCTACTGCCTAACATGGCCGCTGCCGCCGCTGTGCTGTTAGCCGGAGCAGCCGTCGCGTAACTCGTTTGTCCCATGATAGTGCTCATAAAACCATTGGCCACGACAAAGTTCCTGCAAATTGATTGTATCTGGTATTACATAAAAATGAGCACAATTGAACCCAAACCCAAGCCCCAGCCCCGATTAGACCCTGGCATTGTCTAATTGGCCCGTAAATGTCGTAAAATTAATTTCGTGTTAATTTTATGTGAGTACATCAATTAAACTTGTGACATTTCTTTGAATTACTTCCGTTACAAAACGTTCAGCCCACCGCCTCATCCCCTTTGCCTTACCTGTAATGCTGATCGATTTGCGCCTTCTCAATACGCTTATCCTTAGCGCGTCGATTTTGAAACCATATTTTGATTTGTGTTTCAGTCAAGCACAACGTCTCCGCCAGCTCAAAGCGTCGGCTTCTTGATATATACTCGTTCCGATGGAATTCCACCTCCAGCCGCAACGTTTGCTCCGTGCTAAATGTGGTGCGCTGCCGCCTCTGTCGCCCCTCCTTGCGTCGACGTCGTGCCACTGCCAAACAGAGAGCAGATATTCAAATTGTTACCACACAATCCACAACAATGATATATGTTTGTAAGTGGGTCACACGCACACACAGACGTGGCAGGCGCTAGAGCGAAATTAATCTTACATTAATAAACCATCAAATTGCCCACAATCTCTAGCACTATTTGTATCCGCTAAATATCCTTGCGTGTGCATAAGTTAAACAAATAATTAACCATGCTGATGGACCCTTTCCATTGCTGCTCAACGAAAATTTTGATCGCGTTTGTAGCGCACATTAAAATGCATTTTACACGTGTTCCTAGACTGTCCATCACCACCGCCTCTTAATAGCATCATAGCATTTGCTCCTTTTTGGGCAATCTGAGCCGGGAAATTTTCAACAATGCCTGCAGCTGTCTTCCAACCTCCCATTGTTATATTTGTACTCATAATTATACCCTAACTTGCAGGATATGACGAAATTTTAGTACGTAGCTGGCCAAAATCTTATAGGATAATGTTGAGCTTGTTTATAGTTGATAAAAAAGGAATTAAATTCCATTTATATAAATAAATTAATTAATTATTTTTATTTAATAAAATTAATATAATATACGACTATGATTTTTGAAAGATCTTTATGTAATTAGAACTGACAAAAATAGTTCAAAAAATCAGTTCTCCAATATATTTATATACATATACATATATTTCTTTCTAACTTTATGCGCTTATGTTAATTTCAATATACGGAAATTTTTTACATCCACAGTATTGGAAACTATTTTGTTCAAAACATTAGAGTATTTATTTTTCGATATGCTGCAGCGTCTGTTTATTATTTGTTTGCATTTCACTGTAACGGTAACGTCAGCCAAGCGCATATTATGCTACAGCCACGCCCACTTTCAGAATGAGTACTCTATTTCTCTTGCCTGTCCGACTAAATGTTCATTAATTGTTGTTTTTTGTGCTCCCCCTCGCGATGTACGCTCTCCATCTCTTTCGCGCACATTGACCCTTGCGAAGCTGTGTAAAGTTTTCATTTGTAGGCAATTTCGTTGTGTGCGAGCGAGCGGGCAGGCGACTTAATCTCAAGTTTTCGCCTGATTACCCTTTGGCTGACTAACTCACAAAAGACTTAAGCTCCGCTTGCGGCTTATATATGTGTATGTATGTATGGAGATATGTATATTTTTGAAATCACGTGTGAAATTCAATACGACAAGTGTCCTTTGAGCTGGCGCAAGTGTCTGCCAATGTTTTGTTGTGTGTTTTTTAGGTTTCCTGTTAAGCTCAATTACAATGTTAATTTTTTAGATACACTTTTTTCTTTTTTTTTAGCTAGCTCAGAGAAAGTTATGTTTATTGGGGTGCCAAACAAGTGAATAAAGCCTCATGTGGCTTGCAATATCATCTCCCCTTATCAATCTTGTCTGCGTTCTTAATTTCAACATCATTTTTCCATACATTTTGGAATGGAACAATGGGTATAACGTTTTGCATACATTTGTGTAACAATCGAAGGGAGACATAGGCGACTTTGAGTCGATCTATATATATATGTATATATCATATTGATTACTATCATAATATCGACTAATTTAATAGCTCGCTAATAATAATATCTCGTATATAAAACACTTCATCTCACATTGAGCGAGTCAGAGATGCGTCTAGTCGTGCATTCACCCAAGGAACACTCACACTTGTTCCCTCCCTTTCGCTTTTGCATTTATTTGCAACGACCTTTAAGCGAGATTACCACAAGTAAATGAAAATGTTTACGGCTGAATGAGTTTTAATATTTTGTTAATTTTTTCTTTTTTTTTTTTTTTGCTCTTTCTTCATCTTATTGCTTCCCTTTCCCTCACTCTATCGGCATTCTTTCGCAAGTTGCTGCTTCGCTTTGCAGTTTCCTTTGGTTTTTTGCTTTAAGCGTTTGGGGCAAGTGCAAGGATATTTAATAGCCTAGCAATAGGTATTTATTGCATAATTTTTTTCTCAGTTCCTGCGGAACTTATTTTTTCTTTAATTTTATATTTTTTATGTTAATAAGCTTTTGTACCTGCATGTGACAGCGTGAGAAAAATCTTAAATGATTTGTTTTAATTGCTTTTCGCTACACACACACACACACACACATGCATATGTACATAGAATAGGCCGTGGCGGATTGCTAATTGCAATATCTAACTCACTCGCGTCGTCTCGCTCTAACTTACATAATTCTCCGTTCAAGTAATAATTGTAAAATTTAATTTAAAATTGTCACGCACAGATATGCACTTGTATTTAAGAGAATTTAAGAGAATTATGAAAATTTAAAAGAAGACAGATGGTTTAGTTATTGACAAAGTTGATTAACTTACAGATCTTTGCTTAACTTACAGATCAATTACCAATGCCTGTTCCTCTGCGCCTGCTTGGCCGTGCCAGAACACAAATAGCCGCAGCCTATCAGGCCAGATGTCTAGCGAATAACTCCGACATTGAGGTAAGCCCTGCCTATTAATCTCGTGTTTAAAGCTCATAATCTGCCAATTCAGCTACCACCTGAACCTACTACGTGCTGCATGTCCGGATGTGCCAACTGCGTTTGGGTGGAATACGCGAAGACTGTGGCCAAGATCCTCGGCGACAACGATGATCGTGCACGTGAATTAGTTTTGGCTAAGATCAAAGATCCTAATTTGCGCGTGTTTTTGGAAATGGAGCTGCGAAACTTGAAGCAATTGAGAGAGAGCAGGCCAGAGGAACCAAAGAAATGAAGCCAACTAGTCCAATGAATAACATAAAATTATTTTAGTAATATAAATTAGTTTGTTGAAATACAATTTTGAAAATGAGAAATGTTTTTTTTTGCTTTTTTTAAGATTTGTTTTGAAAAGTAGCTGAAGTAAATAATCTATCAGTTAGTTTTCATAGAGCTTTCGAGCTTCATATAAAGTAGTACATTATACCAAATATAGCAATAAGGAATACTAATCCTAACTTAAAGAATTTTTATAGTTTATGCAAGTGGATCCTTTATCCACGTTATCAGATCTCTGGAGTAACTCAAGGAATCTCCTTTTAACTACAGGAGCGAGTTAAAATAGAGCTCCAAACAAAATATTCAAAGGCTAATTTTGCTGTTACCGCTGTTATCGCTTAGTGTAGCTAGATACCCATCTAGTAATCATATTTCTAAAGACTTTTCAGTTTTGAATGCAGAATTAGTTTAATTAGTTTGTTATTTGCTTCAGATTGAAGAAAGCTTATAGAATATACATAGATTTAAACAGTTCTTGTTTCCTTTCGGTGTTGCTTTTTGCAGAAATCGGGGCTGCCTATAGTTTGGTCTTTAACATTTAATAGATTGGTTTTCAATTAAAGCAGTTTGATCTTAATTAACTAATAATGTAAGCATAACTATCAAAAACTACTATTTTATAAATTTCAATAATAATATTAAACGAATTCTATCCATATCAATAAAAACTTCTTCTGGTTTTGTCCTCATCATCCCCACAGCATAATGAGTCCCTGGTCGTAGAATCCTTTCTTGCGTAGATTGTACTAGATGGCTAACAAATTGATAATTACTTATAAGCATTAGAAAATAGTAATTCTTTTCCACAAGTAAAATTACTCTAGACTAGCTTCATTTCGATGTACACTGACCTATTATGAGATCCAAATGGGCCAAAGCCGAAGACTATTTGTAGACTATTTGTAACTAGAAAAATCTAATCATCTGAGTTTAGAAGTTTAGGTATATGCTTAATATAGCCGATCAGTCCTGATGTATGAATAAGAAGATGCATACATATGCACTTTCATACACTTTTTTTACACATTTCAAGGAATTTTTTATTTGACCTTTGCCTTTCCCCAAACTATATAAACTCTATATAGAATACTTACGAAATGCTGAAAATCCAGCGTTGATTTGAACATCAGCAGAAAATGTCGGATATGGTAAAAGGGACGGTGAAGCTTCATTTGAAATGGTTCTATAGCCATTATATTCCGGCGGAGGAGCGATTAGTTCGTAAGACGGAAAACTGATAAATGAGCCGCGTTCGTCACTTATCGAAATATCTGGAGAGGATGCGCTGCCAGCATCGCTCTGGTATAGCGTCTCATGGTGAGTGCCCACATCGATGTCATCGCTTTCGCTATTGTGTGTTCGTGTCTCGAGATGACCGTAAAGACGTTCGAAGAATTGACGAGGCGATGAGGGACGCTGCGGCGCGGGCAGCGCTGTCATCTGTGTGGGTGTGGGTGTTGGTGTCGGTGTGGAGTTGGAGGACTTAATAACATTCTTCACATCGAGTGACATTGATTGGTTTTGCTGCAGCATTTTGTGCGCCCGTCTTGAAACGCTATTTTAAAACAGAGGCTATAAACTTATCACTTGAAAAATCGACGTGCGACTGAAACTAAAATTTGACGTTACTTCCGACTTCGTGGCTGACCAGTAGCAGGCGCCTTGGTCAAGCGTTAGCGCTTATCCTGCGCGCGGCACAAATTATGCGTCGCATCAACAATCAACAAGAAGGTGCTTAAAATTGTCGTTAATAAAAAATATTACTAGCGCCACACCTGAGTCGAAAGTGCGCTGATTGGTTGAAACTCTGCAACCCTTAGGCAACTTCCGCTTCATATTGTTCCTTAAGGGTAGCTATGAAGGATAAGCGCCGCCCATATCCACAATCATAGCAGCTAGCTTTTTGTCAACAACATATATGACAGTTAAAAGCTACTTGCTACATAGTTCAACTACTTTAATGACATGGTGTGAATACACCACTATTCATATCGGTATTTTTAAGAACAAATAAGGTATGATTTATAGTTATAAAATTGTCAGCAAAAATTAGTTAAAATAAACTTAAAATGCTTTACAATTACTCACAAGTGATTTCATTTAAACACCGTTTGAATTATCAACATATCGAGCCAGCATAAATTACTCAAAATACGACAACTATCGATAGAATATTCTGACATAGGCATTTACTGACATCGCTACATTAAATTTTGGCTGCTCAATAAAATAACATTTTAATTTCAACAATTTAGCGACTTAAATATGTCTTATCAATTATATCGTAACACCACGCTTGGCAATACACTTCAAGAAAGCTTGGACGAATTGATTCAGGTGAGTACCGTAAACGGAAGAATTCAATATTCAGTTGCTCAAGGGTGCACCAGCTGCGTCGTAGACATACGCAGTCTTGTCAAATTACGATTTACCTACATACTTAAATTCTGCAAAAAAATATGATTAAGATATAGGTATTGCGTAGTTAAATTAATATGAATGAATAAGAATGATTATATAAGGATCTGCAGTAATCATATTAATTCATATTTGCAGTACGGACAAATAACACCTGCATTGGCCTTCAAGGTTCTCTTACAATTTGACAAGAGCATTAACAACGCCCTTAACCAGAGGGTCAAAGCACGAGTTACTTTTAAAGCGGGCAAACTGAATACATATCGATTCTGTGACAACGTGTGGACCCTGATGCTCAACGATGTGGAATTCCGGGAGGTGCATGAGTTCGTTAAAGTTGACAAGGTCAAGATTGTGGCCTGCGATGGCAAAAGCGGTGATTTTAATTAACATCTAAGGACAGCAAAACAAAGGATACAAATTTGAACGCATTATACTTTTTAAGTTTCTAATTAATAAGTCAGTTGGCTGATGTTCGCTGTAACTACAGCAATTCGGGGAAGTAAACTGTTAACACATAAATAATATAAATATGCGATGGATTGTTTTAATATATCTTAAAATATGTACAATTAACTGATCTGACTTACGTCAGACCTCTAAAGATGCCTTAAATCATATGTGTGAACATTTTACACCTCAATTCATGTTATTGTATTTATGCCCAACAAAAAAAAGAGAATTGAAAATGACTATATAACTTTAAATTTGCTGTTTAACTGACGGATTTCCTCGCTCTAACGATTTCCTTATACGCACTTTTACTTTTTAAAGTCCCACCAACCACGTCCGTTTTATTTTTAGTAAAAAAAACTTGCAATCAAATTTGTATGTAGAATTATTTTTTAAATTTCACCAGTGGCCGATAATGTGTGATCGATTTATTTCCGATAAACGAAGATTTAGCATAATGGTTAGTTAAAGTTCTCTTTGAGTATGTAATACTACATTGAAAATCGATAACAGCTGTTAGTTTACAAAAATTATATTAAAATAAACTGATGATTATATAGAATAGAAGTTAAATTTAATAATGAATATAAAATGACAAAAATTTATATTCAATGCAAACTGTTATATTTAAAAATTTTTAAAACATATTTTAAAATTTTTTCATATCAATATCGATATTTATGGTATCGTACGCAGTATGATGCATATAATTAATTTTGTTTGGTATATCGATATAATGCTATAAAACCCACATCCCTCGATTCATTGTACAAAACGCAACAACAGCGCGTCGCGTTCGCACGGAGGCCGCTTTGATAACAAATTTGATATATTTTGAAACGGTCAAAGTTATTATTATTACAATTCTGGGTTATTATTATTCATTTCGAATTTGTTCGTGGTAAACCAAACAAGGGCTAAGCGCGAATGCATATCACAGGCAAACTCGTGAAATGCAGAATAAATTTAACTGCGACAAGTGAATTAAAGTGTAAAATCCTATGAAAATACGTTGTCATTTTGCAAATAAAGCTGCTAAATAAATTATTTTTTAAAAGGTAAAAATACAGATTGTGCTCGTAAAGTCAAATCACTTGCCACTTGGCTTTGAGGTGTGCGTACATTTATATGCATATAGCTGTGTGAGTGTGTGTGCGAGTAAGTGTGAGCGGATGAATGTAGGTGTTGTATGTGGAAATATTATTTGCTGTTGTTGCTGTTGCTTCTACTGTTGGGCTGACTGAGCGCAAAGAAAATAAAAAAAGTAAACGCGTAAAATAGGAATAGTGCACTCATCTCCAACAACAGCGCGTGTTTATTTAGTGTTTGGTTTAATCGAAAGCAACCAAGTTGCAATAACAGTGAATCAATAAATGTTACTCTTATTGTTATTGTGGCCTTTGCTGCAAAGCCCTTGAAGTGTTGCAGAAAATAAATTACAAACATACATAGAGTACGCCGAAAGCTAAAGACGGAAAACAAAACGCACACGAGGTGGCTTTTGTTCTTGCCTATTGCGATTTGCAGCTAACTGAAACTGAATGATTAAGCCATATATAAAACGTGAATAACAAACAATATAATAATATGTATATTTATACATATATGCATGTGTACTACGCAGCACTGTAGAATAAAGTTCTCCATTTTTTGTTTTTGTTTACAGTGCGTTTTATGGCATTCGTTTATTTTTGTTTGCGGTTTGCTTTTGCGTTACCGTTAAGTCTTTAATGAGTCCAATTGGACTCTCCTACTGAGAATTAAAGGAAAAACAAAGTATTCCGAAATGATTAATAGAAAAACAAGAAGAAAACAAAAATGTTTTTGAGTTAATAAATAAAAGTAATCGAAATAAATTTTATTAAAATCTAAAAAGGTTAAACCAGATACACCGCCAAAATTGATTTCCGTCGCATCAAAATCTTTACCTCAAAACTGGATTATAATAAATCCGTTGATATTGGAACGCAGCAGGAAAACAACTCTGGGGTAACCAACAAAATGGTCAAACGGTAGGTACACACATATACATTTATTATTCTTTTATGATATATATTTTTTACGATCTGAATGCATTTTCTTATCAACCTCAATCGGTTCGTTAACCTGTGGCTAAGAAATTAGAGCTCGGCGCTGCGCTAATCCGTCGTAGAAATATTTTAAGAGTATTTTTAGAATGGAATTGGATTCAATTACCAGAGTCTATTGAACTTGATAAAGCTGAATTATAACGCAATTTATTTCTGTTAATTGTTTTTATCAGAGACAGCGGCAGTGGATGGAGGGGGAGGGAGAGGGCCCGATACGTAGGGTTGCTTTTAACTGCGTTGCTGCTTGCATTTGAATGTTGTTTTCTTGTTCCTTTATGTGAGCACATTTAGTGCTCCAACAACAACCCCCAACGCTGAAAAAAAAGCAAAAAAAACACACCCCCTCGAGTGCAGCCACCACCAGCACATGACATCCAACATACAACAACAGTGTTGACAAGCGGCATCGCATAAATTTGTTGTGTGCGTTTGCCCAAAATCAAAATGTAAAAGCACTACAGCAACAACAGGAACACGTACAGTGGCAGCAATAACAACGATGAAAAGCCCAACGCGGCATTTGGCTAACGCATGCGCCTTGAACCATAATAAATACAACAACAACAGCCGCTCCGTTTCTGTTTTGTCGGCATTTTGCTTTTCTACATGATTTTCTTTCTTTTCCTTTTTATCTCATCTGTTGGGCATTCCAAAATAGCAGAACACACTGACAACGCTCTGTCTCCACCTCTGCCTGCATAAATAACTGCATACGCTGCGCTCTCATTCTCGCCTTACTCTAGCTTGTGTTCACGTTCTATCTTCATGATTCTTTTTTGTTTTTTGTTTTTGCTTTGTCTCTTACAGTTTCATGCTGTTATTTTCGACGTTGGCGGTGCTTTTCCTTTGCGCCTGACAATATTTAACATTACTTTGTGGTGTTGTTGTTGCTGTGGTCCCCGAGTCTTAGCAGGTTCTTTCAGTTGCATTTTTTACAGTTGCTTTTTCGTTTGTCGCGCCCCCACAGACACACATACACAAACACACTCAAGGAGAGTGTATAAACAACAACGTTTTTCTCTTCGTGTATTTATTGTTTTGTTTTTTTTTTTTACTTGCTGTGGTTCGCCTTTTGTTTTGACTAGATTCTGCGTTCGCTGCATCGTTCATATATCGATATTTATCAGAATCCGTTTTTATCGTTGAAGCTGCCTCGTTCTTGCATTGACTTCCTGTTGCTGTTGCTTGTGTTTACCTGATGCTGACCTGTTCTCCTGGTTGTTGTTGTTGCTGCTGTGCTCGTTCTTGCTTGTCGATCGCCTCTCTTTGCTTACAAATCTTTAGCCTTGTAGGTTTACATGCACAGACACACATACACACACTTTTATATATATATATTTTATTTATATATATATATATATATATATATATATACATACATGCATACGCATGTGACTGTGTTGGTGCTGTTTCTGCAGATCTCGCTGCCGCCTGCCTGCGCTGTTTTGTATATTGTGTTTATTAAATTTTCTTTTCTTTATACATACATACAAATGTATGTATGCGTGTATGGCATGCATGCAGTTGCCCATACGGCAGGCAATGTTGCCCTGCTTGAAAATTTATTTGTCT